GAGAAAAAAAGAGAGGAGAGTGAGGTAGGGTGGGAGATTAGTGGTAGACTTAGAAAAAAATGATTAGAGGGTGGAGTGGAGAGAGAGAAAAGGGTTAGGAGAAAGTAGGTTAGTGAGTAGGGAGTGATACTAGACTTTTGGGTGGCCAAGAGCAAACAAGGTCACCAAGATCCACAGGATCTTGGCCTTTAAGGTGGTGGCAGCTTGCTGCTGCAGCAGAAAAATAATAATAAAATAATATAGGGTTGGCTGAGATCTTGATTAGCCACCCTAAGTGCACAGTCGCGCAGCCCCCTAGCCAGGGGGTCTTCACTGCTACCAAACTGCCGCTGTAGTAGTAGGGAAAAAAATCATCATCATCATCATCAACTGGGTGTGCTGAGGTCTTGATCATCCACACAGATTACACTGTAGTGTAGCCCCCTAGCCACGGGAGTCTTCAAGATCTTCAGCAAGCTGCCACGTGGGCCTGCAGATGGCCACGTGCACAGGCAGCAGCAGCCACGACGCGGTGGGCAGCCCACCCGTTGCTGCCGTGCTGACCACTGATCGCCGCTCGCCGACGGGGGCACTAATGTGCCATGCTAAAAGGACATGTATAGAGTTTGGCCATTGTATTAAGCCATTGGCTACGCATGCGGATGGCTCGCAGTTGCCCATGTTCAAACCCTGGCAGCTCCACTCCCGGATATTGATATAATATAATCTGGGGGCGGGCCAAAGCGGGGCGGGGCGGGGCGGGGGGGGGGGGGGGGGGGGGGGGGGGGGGGGGGGGGGGGGGGGGGGGGGGGGGGGGTGGGTCAGCGGGGCAGCATGGGCACATGGTGCATGCGCGTGTGGCGGCCTTGGCCTTGGCGCTTGCGCGTCGTGATGGCACTCTCCTTTTTCGCCACTTGTGCGTCACTCACCACTGTTCCTTTCTCCTGCTGTTCCATGTTTTTGCACTCCGAGAAAGGGCCGTCGTGACGTGTTACATGCCCAGTTGGGCGATGTGCATAGAAACCGAGGATCCGCAATGTGACAAAAAGGACTGAATGGACAATGCAGTGCAAGTAGATCTCAACAAGCAATGTGCATTCCGATACATACAAAATGGTGCTGAACTGCGCAGTGGAAGACTTAGATACAAGTCCTGACCTGCCCAAGACTGACCTCACTCACGTAGTATAAGATAGCGAAGCAGAATGCTAGGATGCTAATGACTAGCCCAATCAATGTTTGAACGCAGACCAAACATACATCGTGTCCATCACAAAGTGTGAAGGAGCCTGGCGCTGTACACAGGAAGGAAGCCCAGGTCCAGACATACACAGACTAAGAGGAGGGGATCAGACGAAGAGGAGGGGGAGAGATGGGAATGTCGTCAACACCAAGTCTTTGTCACAAGTCCCAAATAATCCCTCGTTGCAATGTCTGAAGCCAAAAGTCGAGTCTGGATCCAATGTCACCAAGCTCTCTCTCTCTTCTCTCGTAGTCTGCTGATGCAGTGAAGTCAGATGATGAGAGGGTGAGGGGGAGATGGTGGACTGAGAAGAGGAAGAAGAAGAACTCTCTCTCTCTGTTACGAGCCAGGTACTAACCTGTGAAGTTGGCGCTGTGCTGCAGGTACCTCGAAGACGAAGCTGGAGCAACGGCGCTGCAGGTAAGTACCTCTGGCCTCCGCCCAGTCTCTCCCTCTCTCTAGTGCTATCCTAGCTATGGCGCCCAGCGCTGGAGACTACAATTACCTACTGCGCCCAGCGCTGAAGACTAAGGCTAACGCTACTATTACTCCTGCAGCGCTCCCTCCAGAGTGCTGCTGCCAAATCCTGAAGACTACTGCCACCTGCCTACCCGTGAAGTGCATGGGAAGTCCCTATGTACTACCTCGGCCTGTCTCCTGACTGCCGGAAGGGCGAGCCAGGCCGAGGAGGCTGCTCTTGCCAATGCCGAAGTGTGCCAGGGGCTGGCGCTGCAGCATCTGCAGAGGCTGGCGTGGGAACAGGGTAAGAATAGCCTGTTCCCGAAACCCTGGTTCGGTGCCTGAGTTTCAGGGCCGATCGTTCATCGAAAATGGCCTGTAGGCCCCTGTTTTCAGGCTTTCGGGCTGAACAGTCACGGGGACTGTAGGCCCTGTTTTTCAGGCTTTTAGCCTGAATTTCAGGCTTTCAGCCTGAAGGATGCAGGGCCTGGAAAATGGCCCTCGTGTGCAGGCGCAGCATGTAACATGATGGCACTCTCCTTTTTCGCCATGTGTGCATCACTCACCACTACTCCCTTTGCCTGATGTTTCCCATCTTTCCAGTCCGAAAAAGGGCCAAAATCCCGCTATTGGGATTACACCATTCTCTCACACTTGCGGGATGGGATGCGTGGGAGCGGGGACCGTTCCCGCTCTGATACCAGTGTGAGAGTCCCACCGGGATGGCGGTCCGTCAGGATCAAGACGAAAGGATGAGGATGGGGGAGATGGAGATGGAGCTGGAAGGGACAGCGCAGCTCCAACGCAGACTCAAAACGCACGTACTCCAAACTATGCAAACGAAGAATGAATGGAAAACAGACTCCAGCTGGGTTATATCCCCGGCGGACTGACTGGACTGGACTGGCCTGGCCTGGTACCGACAGTGGTACCGAGCAGGACTGGACTGGACTGAATGAATACACGGCCTGTGGGATTAGGCCATGGTCTGGTCCCACAGGCCGAACAGGCAAAATAGCCAAATAGCCCTGGCTCTAGGCCAGGGCAGCCAGAGGCACACTGCAGAGGGCGATGCTTCTGCCTCATCTTCTGATCAAGTCTCGTTCTTCTGACTCTAATACGTAATTAGGAACAGAAATTCCGCATTGACCATAAGTATTGGCTTTCTGAAAAGCAGACCTTTCACAACAAGTTTCCATATATTGCTCCTTACCTCTAACAACAAGTTCACATCTATTGCTCCTTACCTTTCACAACGGATTTCCATCTATTGTGAGTGTGTCGTTAGACATTCACTAACAATGGTGGCAAGGTGAGGGAGAGGGAGATATGCACTGCAAGCAAAACCATGACAAGTTGTAAGCTTCAGCCAGTGCAGTCCATTTCTTGATTTGTGAGAGTCATCCTTGCGCTGAGGCCATGCAATCTTCTCTTTATCTTTCCATTTTTAATGGATGTTGTAGTGGAAACTGCTGAGCATTTCCTTATCTTCTTCTTCCACCCTCCCCTCCCTCTCTCTCTCTCTCTCTCTCTCTCTCTCTCTCTCTCTCTCTCTCTCTCTCTCTCTCTTCATGTCTTCTTTTTCAATGTGAACATTTTACGGGTGTACTCCAAGTTTGGCGATGGAGTTATGATCACTGAAATTGGAGATCAACCAGCTCAAGATCACGTCGCTATTCGCGGGGAGGAGCACAGCTGCTAACCGGGAGCAGCCTCCCATAGAAATTGTTGTTGAATAATCTGTCTGCCACCCTCCCCCTCAAGTGTCCCATTCCTCCTTCACAGGCGTGGGAGCATTTATACTTGTCATGTTTACAGTCTGGCTTGGGACATGAGCTTGTACTCTAATTGTTCCTTTCAGTGCTTCTTCTTCTTCTTCTTCTTCTTCTTCTTCTTCTTCTCCCCCTCCTCCTCCTCCTACTCCTCCATCTCCTTTCTTGGGAAATGGGCGCCGGCTTTGAGATATTGTCATTGAGCCGACCGGCCCCATGTAATTCAGATATATAGTTTCATTCAGCTGATTCCATCATCATGTGGATTCAAACCCAAGTATGTAGTTCGCTGGTATATGGCACAGTTCCTGCCGTCCATATCCTGTAGTGGGGTACACCCATTGATATGGACGGCAGGAACTGTGCCATATACCAATGAGCCTAGCTCAGCTCTTCGGTGTACCAACTGAGCTAGGCTCGTTGGTATATGGCACAGTTCCTGCCGTCCATATCCTGTAGTGGGGATTGAGATGTGAATCACTGAATCTACCACACAGCCAAAAGGAGATATCCTGATCCATACCTCTGTGTATTCAGCATGCCTCATGTAAACAGTTGATGAGCGACGAGGTCGATGCTCACATCAGACGTTTCATAATTGTTATCACATCAGACTTTCCACTATTATTATGTCTTGACTTGGAATTGCTGAGCATGTGTGGGCACTCAAAGGAGGTCTGCAGACAAGTCTGCAAGGGAGTGGCGGTTACGAAATGCTTTTGCATATGAAGGGGGAGAGGGAGTAAGGAGTTCCTAACTTCCCAAAATTCTTTCAACAGAAGAAGAGGGGAAGAGGGGCTAGGGGAGGTAGGGAAGAGCAGTGCCAAGGGAGGTCTTGAGATGTTGTACATACAAAGAAGGGATGGAGGGGGACTGTTGAGGATGAGGAGTGTCAAGCAGGTCCATGCTGTGTATAAGGT